TCTCCTGTTTTTTTATAAAAACATCCCATAAGGACTTGGGCCGAAGGGATCGATTAATTTTGTGGACCCGGACCACTTAGCTAGAGAGAGCTTTTTTTTTTTTTTTTTCTGGTGCCATATGTCGCAATACTTGTTTTTGAGCCGGTCAGCAAAAAGTTGAATTGCACAAGCCCTTATGCGTTTTTTTTTTTTTTTTTTTTGGTGCCATATGTCGCAATATTGTTTTTAGCCGGGTCAGCAAAAAGTGAATTGCACAAGCCCTTATGCGTGTAGAAAATTTAAAAAAAAAAAAAAATATTATGGTTACCAGTTATTTCTCTTTTTTTTTTTTTCAATGAAAGGAGAAATTAAATTCTTTTAATTTCTTCAACAAATATCCTTCAACAATTCAGTCAAAATCAATTTTGCATTCTATCCATTTATATTGCACTTAACGTTTGCTATTATTTTATAATAGAATACATAAATCTTCTTACTTAACAGGATCTAATATATGGAGAAAATTTAGAAAATTCATGAGTGATTCAAGAAATATTTAACTTTGATAAATTTAATCTTTTTTTTTTTGAGATTGTTTTGGAGGTAAATTTATTATTTTATTCTCACATTAAGATTACTTTTTTAGCGATCGTATATTGATTATTAGCCTGATTGCATATTATAGTAGATATGGAAATCGGACTTTTTTTGGTACGACACTTATTTTCATCCGCAAAGATGGTACCATGCAACCAATATCGATGTGGTGGTAGTGATGGACCGGTGGCTGAGGTGATGTCGGTGACTGGAGATTGTGGTGGTGTGATTGTTTGTAGCGGTGATGTTCTGATTACATTTTATATTTACAAGCAAATATGAAATTGAAATGGTGATTGTATTCTATAAATTTTTTCAATTACATGATTAAATATAGTAATGGAACGTTAATTTCATTTTATTAGATTTTATTATATTTTTCATTGTATTACATCTTTTTAATTATATTATAGAACATTATATCCGATCAAACATGATATAAATATTAAAATTTTGAATTAATTTGGATATTGCTTAAAATTAGCAAGTACATATTGCGCGTTTGATAGTATGCATGGCATCTCTCATAAAATTATATATGTAATTTATTTTTCTTAGTATTACGGAAGGGAGATTTGAACTTATATCAGTTGCCAAATCATATTTACATTTACCATCAAGCTGATGTTCTATCCAATTAATATTTTGAACTAAATATAATTGAGTAATTAAATAAGAAAATTATATATTTCATTTAGTAAACAGTTATCATGTAAATTTTAAGAATTGTTATATTATTTGCATTCTCATAAGTCATAATAATAAAGAATACAAACATAAATGAATGTAGCGCATCTAATTTACAAACAAAAATTATTAGAATTTTCTTGTTGATGTAGGGTTTACGTGTTCTTTTTCAACTTGCAACATTGAATTAGAGTTTAAGATTCCCTTTGATAGTCATTCATTAAAAATATGGAATTCATCTCAAAATGCAATCCTATCTTTTACGTAAAACTCAATTGAGTTTTGAACATATCGTGTTTCATACAAATTGAAAATTCAATTCAATGAATAATAAATATCTAAAAATAAATAACCAAAAGAATGAGACTTGAAGTCGAGTCACTCATGCCGTTTTATATGAATATATATTTTTTTAAACTACCGGTGCCTGGACATTATTATCCAGGATCGACTAAATGCAATTCGGGTCTTAGTCACAGATAAGACTCTTCACCCCTCTCTGTAAGTGTGTTTAGTGGGGATCAAAATCCAAGAGACTCTTTCCACATATTCAGCCTGCGTTGTCAACTAAGCTACAACCCGTAGGTTTTATATGAATACTAACAATATACCCTTGCTATGCACGTTAAAAAAAAAAGTAAAATTAAGACAATATATATATATATATAATTTATAGATTTTTGAATGAAATTTTTTTTAGTATATAATTTATAGATTTTTGAATGAAATTTTTTTTAGTATGCTATTAAAAAATATTATAAAGATATATCAATAGTAAAAAAATAATATAGCATGATTTTTGATTATTAAAGTTAAAATTAGTAGATAAGCATATGTTTAGGAATATGGATTAAAATATTGAAATTTATAGAGATAAATAAAAAAAAGTAAAATGAAAGGTGGTTCATTAATTTGATTTATTTTAAAATTTATTTTAAAATTAATGTAAAAATAATTAACTCGTTATTTTATTAAAATCCATGAATAAATAATTTTTAAAATTAATGTAAAAATAATTAACTCGTTATTTTATTAAAATCCATGAATAAATAATTTATTTTAAATAATTAAGAGTTGTATAAATCTTCAACTTGTCATATTATTATTAATACTATAATTAATTAATTATATTTAACATGATTTAATTTAATACAAAATTTTTAATTTTTTAACATAAAATAACAACTGCCCATATCACTAAAATTTATAAATTATTTAATTTATTTATATCATTAAAAGTTGTATAAATTGTTAATTAACACACTGTTAATTCTCTAACGTCATATTAATTAATTATATTTAAGATAGTAACAATTAAGTCATATACATTTCATTAATTTAGAATCCTACGTGGCAATACCATGAAAATTTTTGCCTTCTTTATATATACATATATTGATTTGATAATTTACAGCTACAAAAACATGTTAAATAATCTTTAAAAAATGAGAAAAAGAAAAGTTTGAGTTAGAACTACTAACCCCCTTAGTGAAAATAATTGAAATATAGAAAATTCTGAACTTTAAAAAAAAATGAATAATATATTTAAAAGTAGGGACCAATATATCTTTGCCAAAAATATACAAGAATACAGTGATACAACTTATATATAATATTTAAAAAAAAAAAGCTAAAGTGTTTCTTAAGAGTAAATAATTTTAAATTTAAAAAAGTGCATTACTACACTAATTAAAAAAATAATAAATGAAAACATTTAGATATGAAACATTAAAGATACATTAACGGTTGTTAGAGGAAACATTTATTATTTCACAAATTTGAGAGTAAAGATTCGGTGCAAAGCAATACATTAATTATATTTAACATGATTTAATTTAATAAAAAAATTTTAATTTTTTAATATAAAATAATAACTGTTCGTATCACTAAAATTTATAAATTATGTAATTTATTCATATCATTAAAAGTTGTGTAAATTGTTAATTAACACACTGTTACTTCTCTAACGTTATATTAATCAATTATATTTAAGATGGTAACAATTAAGTCATACACATGTCATTAATTTAGAATTCTACGTGGCAATACCATGAAAACTTTTGCCTGCTTTATATATAAATATATTGATTTGATAGTTTACAGCTATAAAAATATGATAAATAATCTTTAAAAAAGGAGAAAAAGAAAAGTTTGAAATAAAACTACTAACCCTACTAGTGAAAATAATTGAAATGTAAAAAATTCTGAATTAAAAAAAAAAAGAATAATATATTTAAAAGTAGAGATCAATATATCTTTGTCAAAAATATACAAGAATATAGTGATACAACTTATATATAATATTTTTTAAAAAAAGCTAAAGTGTTTCTTGAGGGTAAATAATTTTAAATTTAAAAAAGTGCATTACTACACTAATTAAAAAAAATAACAAATGGAAATATTTAGATAGGAAATATTAAAGATACATTAAGGTTGTTAGAGGAAAGATTTATTATTTCATAAATTTGAGAGTAAAGATTCGGTGCAAAGCAATACATTAATTGTTTTGGATAATAATTGAATCTTAAAATAGGATATGCCCTGTAATCGCCAGAAATGAATTAGGCAGTGGTTGAGATGATGAGGCATAAATTAATATTTCACCAATACTTTTATAATGTTTAATGATTGTACGTATTTACCTTTATTTTTTTAATTAAAAAAAAAAGACTGATTCAGCAAAGTTGAATCAATTAAAACAAATCAAAATAATTTAAAATAATAAAATATTTAACTTTATATTTAAGGGGGATTTTTTTTTTTTGAAATTAAAATATCATAATGACCTAAATTAGACCAATTCCCAACTAATTTAATTTTTTACATCCATATTAATACACTACCCGATGCCAAATAACTCCAACAAAATCAGTACCGAAATATTCGCTAGTTTAATTCGAATCTTATATATATATATATATATATATAAAAATATTCGTAAGTTTAATCGAATCTTATTATCAATATATATATATAATATATATATATATTATATGTATATATATATATATTATACAGTAAATGACAAAATCACTCCATTTAAAAATTTCCAATGTAATCCAAGACAACGAACAAGCATGTTTATATATCAATTAGTCCAACTCATTTTAATTTTTTTTTATACATTTAATCAGTAATTAATTATTATTCAACAAAACTTATCAGTCATTATTGTTATTATTATTACTAATTAGTCCATGTCAGAATTTTAAACATAATCTGAAAATTTTCCAATGTACACAAAAAAGACAAATTGTATACAGGTAAATAATTATTTAGACCTTAATATTTAGTCATAATCACGATTTCATTGCTCTTATTTTATTAATATGTTGATTAGTCCTATTAAGATATTAAATTACAATTTAGTCCTAATTTAATGGTAAAAATACCACTTTTTAGAAGGACTGAATAATTTAACAACATTTAACCTTATGAAGTAATTGACAATAAGATATGAAGATATAAAGTTATATATATAAAAGGACGGCTGAAGAACCCTGGACCCCCCCAAAATCCAAATTTTTTTCTAAATTTCCCATTAGTATAAAAAAACTTTTTTCTTTGATTTTGGGTCTCCCATATTGGAAAATTTTTCTTTAGCCCCCTTTTAATTTTGAGTCTAGCTCCGCCCTGTGTGTAAATATATCAATTTTTTTCATTGCATTTTTCATAGGCATTAGGAAAAGAGAATATGGGTTCCCTTAGCAAACCTCTTTTCATAGGCATTAGGAAAAGAGAATATGGGTTCCCTTAGCAAACCTCATGCAGTGTTGATCCCATTTCCAGCACAAGGTCACATAAATCCATTTATGCAACTTGCTAAGCTTTTGCATTCAAGAGGCTATCATATAACCTTTGTAAACAATGAGTTTAACCAGAAACGATTGCTAAGGTCAAAAGGCCCAGAGTTGATGCAAGGCTTACCTGCAGATTTCAGATTTGAAGCTATTCCTGACGGGCTATTCCTGACGGGCTGCCTCCGTCTAACCCTGATGCCACGCAAGACATCCCTTCTCTTTGTGACTCAGCCCGGAACTACATGTTGGGTCCGTTCAGAGAACTACTGGCTAAAATCAATTCCTTGTCGTCTGATCAAGTGCCTAAGGTAACTTGCATTATTTCTGATGCAATCATGTCGTTTGCTCTTTTAGCAGCCGAAGAATTAGGGGTTCCTGGAGTCCCATTTTGGACTAATTCTGCTTGTGGCTTCATGGCTTATTTGCATCTTGGGGAGCTTGTCAAGAGAGGCCTCGTTCCGTATAAAAGTATATATTTTCTCGTTTATCTCCTTTCATATATGTGTGTTTAATGTTTATGTTGTTTTTTACTTGGTTTCATTTGAATAGTTAACAAATACATTGCTAAAGTTTAATGGACGCTAGAACTTCTTTTTGAATTTTATATATAAAAATCTCATAGGAGATACACTTTAGGTTAGAAAAAGAAAATAATTTGTCATATTGTTCATGAACTCTGTATTTTTTTTAGAAGTATATATATATATATATATATATATATATATATATCTATATATATATATATATATATTAATTAGTTGCCATGTGGATTAACTCTGAGTTATTGATGAACATTCAAACAAAAATGTGCTTAAAAAACAACTAAGATATAAGCTTTGTTCAGCAATATTAATTGGAAAATATTTATCTAGATCAGGTTTATGATCCATCTATGGACCTAAAATAATGAAAATAAAAATTTTTTTAAAAATTATTTTTATTTAATCATTTTTGCCTAGTGTACGGTAAAAAAATACTTCGTTTCAATAAAATTATTATTTTAATTGATTTGGTCCATAGGTTGGGCCGCAGACTGGCCTAGATAATTAAATCTATCATATATTCATTAGTTATTATACTAGTTGTGAGATCTTATAATGGTTATCACTTACTAGCTCCTAGTTATTAAATATTAAGGAGGGTAAAGTTTTATAATCTACTCTTACAATCTCTCTCTGAACACTCATATAGACGCTATGCTACTAAATAGTATAAATAATAGAAATTTAGTGAAAACATTGAATACTACTTTATAACTGTTGCTGGCCATAGAAGTTTCAGGTAGTGTTTGGTCCCACAAACCATTAAGCTTGAGCTTTTGTGTTTAATAAATTTAATTTATTGGCTAATGGATAATAGTGCTTGATGCTTCCGGAAGTGATGTTATTGTTCTGAGAGCTAAAAGTTGATCCATATAATCATCTCAAATACAAATGGAACTATTGCAATTTTTTTTCCTTTTTTGTTTTACCCTTATCTAGAGATCAAGCAATTAATTTCTAATTTGATGTGTTTCAGGTGAAAACTTTGATACTGATGGCAGTCTTGAAACACCAGTAGATTGTATACCAGGTATTGAAAATGCTACGCGCAGGTACATGCCATTTGCCACCAGAACCACTGATCCAAACTCCCCATTTTTGAATTGTTTGCAATATCTAGTACCTGCCAATTTACAAGCTCCTGCAATCATCTTAAATACATTCGACAAGCTTGAACGTGACATCGTAGAAAAATTCAATCCCATATATTCTCATATTTACACAATTGGCCCTTTATCCCTCCTAGAAAATCAAGTGCCTAAATTAAGTCCAATAGCGTCATTTAGAACTGCCAGCATGGTCTGGATCTGCCAACAATAAAAAAGGTTCTTGGTTGTGTTCCCGCCATTTTGAAAAATTATTTTATAGCTATTTTAGATAGTTAAAGCAGAAATGACAGACGGAAAGGAAAATACCACACCTGTTCACAGCATCAACCTTCGTAAGAAATGCTGTATCAAATGCCAAGATTTACAGTGGAGAATTTCGATGACGGTCATTTCGGGCATGTGGAAAGTGAAGTTCTAGACGCCTCTCTTCAGCAAGTTTCAGCAAGGTCTAGATGTTGCTATTGAAAAAGAGAAACCAAACGAGATGGAGGAAAGTGAATGGAAGACCATCAATCGTCTGGCATGTGGGACAATTCGGTCATGTCTTTCTAGAGAGCAAAAATATGCTTTCTCGAAAGAAACTTCTGCGAACAAATTGTGGAAGGCATTGGAGGAGAAATTTTTGAAGAAAAACAATCAGAACAATCATGAAGAAGAAATTGTATCGCTTCAATTATGTTCCTGGTACCACTATGAATGAACACATCACAAAATTTAATCAGTTGGTGGGTGATTTGTTTGATTTGGTTTAATTTGGGATGTGATATTTGATGTGATATTTGGAGACGAAGATTTGGCAGTGTTGTTGCTGGCATCTCTTCCTGATGAATTTGAGCATCTTACAACGACTCTAATCTATGGGAATAATTTCAGTGAAGTTTGTGCTGATCTTTACAGCCATGAATTGAGAAAGATAGAAAAGAAGGAAAAGGCAACTGAAGTAGAAGCTCTAGTGGTTAGAGGTCGTTCACGAAGCCAAAAGAAAGAGGGAAAGAAAAGTAGATCTTCAGTGTCTTCTTTGTTGTACCACCATGTTACAACTCCAAATGGAAGGGCTATAGCGTCTCCCTTCTTGATTGGGATTACTTTCTCTTCCTTCTCGGGGAGGACAATTCCAGCCTCACCATTCCCTAATGAAATTTATTTAATTTAGAGACATATCTCCAACACAACAAATTCTTGGAACCAGTAATTAGATTAACAAAATAAACAATTTTGCAATTAAAATTATTTCACAGTCAGCGGTAGGAAAGCTCCTTAGAGAAGGAAACGAAAACAAATAATACCTTGAAGAACATAAGCAACCTTAGCAGAATCAGAATAACGAGGAACAGCAAAGCCATTCTTTTCAAGAGCAAGTTTAGCTGCTCCAATATTCCCTTCACTTAACATGGCAAGCTCTGATGGACACCAGGCAAGATAGGTTCGATATGTACCGAGTTTGACAAAGAATCTCATTTCAGTAGGAGTCCTAGAATCAAAAGGACTCACTATAATTGCGAAAGATGGAGTGATGAAAGTCATATTTGGTGCACTTGTGGTGATGAAAGGAGTTCGGAGAAGGAATAATTTGTATTACTATCAAGGTAATACAATTATTGAATCGACAGCAACAGTTGTTTCTAGTTAGTGATGACAAAGAATTGGAAACAACCAGATTGTGGCATAGGCGTTTGGGACATGCAGGTGAAAAATCCTTGAAAAGATTGTTAGATCAGAGATTATTGAAAGATGTAAAAACCTGCAAGTTGGACTTTTTTGAGCATTATACCAAAGGAAAGGAGACAATAGTGAAATTTGGCACCGGAATCCATAATACCAAGGGTATCTTAGATTATGTTCACTCTGATGTATGGGGACCCTCTACAACAGCTTCTTTGAGCGGTAAACACTATTATGTGACCTTTGTTAATGATTTCTCTCGAAGGGTTTGGGTGTATACTTTGAAGTCAAAAGATGAAGTGCTTAGAGTTTTCCTTAAATGGAAAAAATTGGTGAACTCAGTACTGGGCAGACGCATCAAATGTCTTCCGAAGCAGACCAATGGAGAGAGAATACAAAAAATGATGCTTTTATAAAAATCTTGTGCAGATGAAGGCATTGTTCGACACATTCACAGTTTAGGAAATACACCGCAGCAGAATGGGGGTGCAGAAACGTATGGAACCGAACGCTGTGGAGGAAGTTCAGTGGTTATGTGTCTAATGCTGGGTTAGACAAGAAATTTTGGGCTGAGGCTTTGTCATATTTGCGTGCCATCTCATTAATCGATTACCATCAACTGCTATTGGTGGCAAAACAGCCTATAGAGTATGGTGTGGAGACCTGCTAATGATATGATTTCTTAGTGTATTTGGGTTCCCACTGCATTTAATCATGTTAAGGAATCGAAGCTGGCATCCAAGAGCTAAGGAAAAGGCCATTTTCATGGGGATAAGCACCCCGGTGTTTAAAGGGGCTATCGACTATGGTTGTACAGAATCAAAGAAAAAAAGAAAATAATTTTTAGCAGAGATGTCACTTTTGATGAATCTACCATGTTAAAAAAGGTGACAGTAGAGCAGTCAGATGGTACTCCACAACAGGTGGACGATACTCCCAAACAGGTGGAGTTTGATAGAAAAATCCTAGTGGTAAGTACTGAACCTGCAGAAACTCCGGAGGTAGAAGGAGGTTCAGATGAAGACGAGGTTCAACTCCAAGAACCTCCACAGCAACTTGAGTTAATTGCACTTGATAGGCCAAGAAGAGTTATAAGAAAGCCTGCTCATTTTGATGATATTGGCCTATGCATCTCCAATTGCAGATGATAAAGCTTTGCATTGGATTGATAGTGCATTCCATCCCACTTTCAATTGGAACGCTGTCAAAAGTTAGAAGAAGTAAAGTGGAGAAAAGCTTGGAAGATGAAATGAGTCCCTTTAAAGAATCAGAGTGGAACTTAGTTGATTCCACCAAAGGGGAAAGAAGGGCATTGGATGCAAATTGCGGGTGTGATAGTTGCAAAGAAAGATGGATATTTCCTGACAGAGACAGTTGTTCACTTTATAAGGCAAGGGTTGGTAGCTAAAAGCACGCTCAGGACGGAGGAATTGATTATAATGAAAGTATTTCTCCAGTTGTAAAACATTCCTCCATTCGGATTGTTGTTTAGCCTTTGGTAGCACAGTTTGATTTTGGAACTAGTTCAAGTTGGATGTAAAAACTGCATTTTTACATGGAGATCTGGAAGAGGAATTATATGACTCAGCCAGAAGGAGTTCAAAGTTGGTTGGAAAGAAAAATAACTGGTATGCCAAACTTGAAAAATCGCTTTATGGATTGAGAGCAATCTTCCAAGGCAGTGGTACATAGCGATTTGATTACAGTTTATGCAAAGGCAGAGAATTACACAAGAAGCAAAATACGATCATTGTGTCTCTGTATTTGCGAAAGCTACAAGATGGCTCTTTCATTATTCCTACTTTTCTGTCAATTGTTGGATGATATGTAACTGAATAGGCTTCAAAGAAAATAAACAAGAAATTGAGAATTTGAAAGAATCAGTTGAATCAAGAATTTTGACAATAGATAAGATCTAGGTGAAGCAAAAAGGGCAATTCCCTCGGCATGGGAAACCAGCAGATAGAATGATTGGGGAGACTTTGTCTGAATCAGAAGCCAATATCTGAGAGATAAAATACTTAAAGCTGTTTCGGATGATGGATGACAAACCATACCTGTTGACGTACACCTCTTGCCCTCATTGTCAAACTCAGTGCAGCTCAGTCGCCAAATCAAATGATGCAGAACGGGGAATTACATTGATCAACGAGTTCCTATGTACTGCCGAATGTTGTAGGTAGCTTGATGTATGGCTGATGGTGTTGTCTCTCAAGACCTGACCATTTATCGACCAGGCAGTGGACGTTTATTCTTTTGATATATGCTAACTGGATTGTTTTGAGTCCAGATACTCATGCATTGTTCCTGCTAGGCTAAGGCAGGGCTGTTACATTGGCAAAGATGCATTGTTGAGCTATAATGGTGTCACGCTTTCGTTGCGTACGCTGTTGCTATCGCGGACTACGATCTAACCGGCAGCGACGACATCTGATGTTATGTTCTGCCTGGCGCCTTGCTGGATCCTCGATCTCAGGAGTAGCGTTGCGTTATATCCGCAACCGGCTCTGGATCGGGATCGTCTGGTTTGGGATATGATTAGTGTCGATGATGGTGCTGCTGGTTCAGCAAAATGAGTGTCAACGCGATTCTAGTCGGTGTTACTGTGATTTATCCTCGTGTATTCCATGCCCGGTGGATTTGGATAATAGCGGTGCATCGATCAACTACTGGTTATGTGTTTACTCTTGCAAAAGCACCAGTTTTAGTTGGAAGTCTGCACTTTACAGTCAACAGGCTTGTCTCAGCAAATAGGGCAGAGTACATCGGGCAGTTGTACAGAGGCTTTGCTGTTCACATTTTGAATCAAGTTACTGTAGCACGGATGCTTCTGAGTTCCTGTAGCAAGTTACTGTAGCACTCGTGTTTCTCTATCAAAACCACAGTCCTTTCCATATGCTGTGAAAGAGGCAATTTAGCTTCAAGGGTTGCTTGATGAATTGGGAATTAGGCAAAACAACATTGTTGTACATTGCAATAGCCAAAGTGCTATTTACTTGGCAAAGAACCAAGTTTATCATGCAAGGACGAAGCATATCGACGTTCGCTTTCATTTTGTCAGAGAAATTCTAGTGGAAGGACAGGTTCAACTCCAGAAGATTCAAACTGTTGAGAATCCTGCTGATATGATGACAAAAGTGGTGACAGCTGTCAAGTTCAAACATTGTTTGGACTTGATCAATATCGTTAAAAGTTGAAGCTTGGCATTGCCAAGCGCATTTGAAGACATTGCAACTTTGTGAGAGAAAGAGCAGAAGTTTGCATTGGTGGAATTTTCACCAAGGTGGAGAGTGTTGGTTCGGTGGCTCAAATTCCCACATCAGGAATTTAGCAAAGGGAGAGGGTAGCCTCAGCTTTATAAAAGGAGCCTACCTCCTTTAATTTTAAATGTCCCAGCTTGTCTGGGTTAGACAAGTTTCTCCCCTCTCTCAATTTGTATATTTCTTCAGTGAAATATAAATTTGGTAGTGTCCGAGAACGTAGGCAAAATTGGCCGAACCTCGTTTAAATTCTGGTATTCTCTCTTATTTATTGCTTTGACTTTATTTATTTAATAGCTATTGTTGGGCAAAATATTTTTGGTAGTTATTGTTTGATTAATTACATGTCTAGGTAAATTCTGTCAAACTACACGAATTTAGTCTAAGGCAAGTATATTTTAAGTGAGACCGCTTGTAACTCTTCCACTTATCTGGAATTTACCTGGCGAAATTACTCAGTTCAATAATTCACAAATTGTTTTAATTTAGTGAAAAAAGCCCAATTTTCACAACAGCTTGGACATCCCCTTTTTTTTTCCAAGTTTAAAGCCAAAGAGACAAAATGGTTGTTTTCGTCGAAAATCCCCCCGGAGGACCCGAAAACATCTTTTTTGTATTTTCGATGAAATATTTTTTATTTTGGATGCGGTGCCGATAAATCGGTCTCATAAACAATTTTGAGTCGCCATCCATTATTTAGGCAATGGGACCGTTTTTATAAAAATGACTCCATTATAAATCCAATTTTGTTTCAAGGCCAAATTATTTCAAAACTTTGATATTGATGGCAGTCTTGAAACACCAGTAGATTGTATACCAGGTATTGAAAATGCTACGCATTGTATACCAGGTATTGAAAATGCTACGCGCAGGTACATGCCATTTGCCACCAGAACCACTGATCCAAACTCCCCATTTTTGAATTGTTTGCAATATCTAGTACCTGCCAATTTACAAGCTCCTGCAATCATCTTAAATACATTCGACAAGCTTGAACGTGACATCGTAGAAAAATTCAATCCCATATATTCTCATATTTACACAATTGGCCCTTTATCCCTCCTAGAAAATCAAGTGCCTAAATTAAGTCCAATAGCGTCATTTAGAACAAACTTATGGGAGGATGACAGTAAATGCCTAGAGTGGCTTGATAAAAGAAACCCTAATTCAGTTATATATGTTAATTGGGGTAGTATAGCAAAAATTTCAAACAAGCACCTTAAAGAGTTTGCATGGGGACTTGCAAATAGTAAACATCCATTTTTGTGGATAATTAGGCCTGATATTGTTAAGAATATGTCTGAATTACTTGAGGAACAATTTTTTGAGGAGATTAAGGAAAGGGCAGTGTTAGCAAGTTGGTGCGAACAAGAAAAAGTATTGTCTCATCCGTCGACTAGGGTTTTTTTAACACATTGCGGATGGAATTCTATTATCGAAGGTATTTGTAGTGGTATGCCTATGATTTGTTGTTATTATTTGGCCGAGCAGCCGACGAATTGTTTATTTGCATGTAATGTTTGGAAGATTGGTTTGGAAATGAATCCTGATGTGAAGCGCGAGGAAATTAGTTTTCTTGTGAAAGAAATGATGGAAAATGAGAATGGGAAGAAAATGAAAGGAAAGGCTATGGAATGGAAGCAAATGGCAGAAGAAACTACTAAAATTGGAGGTTCTTCTTATGAAAATTTTAATAAGTTTATGGAAGATGTTCTATGCTACGGCAAGTGATCAGTCTGAAATTGTGTGGTATTATCACCTCATTCTAGCAAGAATCATGAAGAAGTGACACCTCAATATTTCAATTTGCTATAAAACTGGTTACCTGTTAAACAGTCTTTTATTAGATTAATTTTTTTTTATATTTTTTTTAAAATAAATTTTGTTTATCTTTGAAAGCATGCATACAACTCTAAATTTATCCTTCATTGGGAAAAATAAATTACCTCCATTCGTCTCATTTTGTTTGCTTGTTATTTAGTTTTTGGATATTCTAAAATGTTTACAAGGTTTCCAAATTTATATATGTAAATAATTATTTTTTTCATAATAACTTTTATGATTGTTTATTAAATAAATTACTTTTATCAATATCTTAAAATGTTAAGGGTGAAAAAAGGGCAAAATAGTTTTGGTTGACTAAATTCTTAAGTTTTGTCAAACTATGCAAATAAAATAAAACGGAGGGAGTATATACTATATACCATTGCGGTTTATATAAATATTAACAACAAGATCATTAAATACCCTGTAATTATATAATCTCATATGAAACTATGCATAATCAATTTCACTTTAAAGGATGATGATTAAAAAAATTCGATGTAAATATCATAGTGGTTTGGGAATTTGAGCAAAACATATAGATTAAATAAAATAGAAAAAGAAATATGCATATTTAAAGATAGATTTACAAAGTCAATTGAAATTTTAGAATTATATAATTTTTCATGAATCGAAAGTAAATTTGGCATTCTAAGAAACAAAAGAAAGTACATTGGTTGTTTTTTAATCCGCACATTGTGCTAGTTATCTAATTGATGTATTTATAGTTTATAATTTATAAATATATTTTAAATATGATACCAAGAATACAAATAGCAATAAACTTTTATATTACTGTACTATTGTCTATTAATATTTTTCTATATGTAATTTTTAATATTTAAAACAATTATTTGAAGTGTTACATTATTTTGAGATATTTATTTAATTCTTTTTTCTAATTTTTAATCTAATTGATCCACTGATATTATTATTTAAACAAAGATTTATTTTTAATTTAATATTTTGAAAATCCTAAAAAAATTCTTATGCATTCTCTTAATAATTATTTGAGACCAACATTACATATTTTGAAAACTATCGAAAGTGATCTAATCATTATATATATAAAAAAATTTCTATATATGTATGACTTGATAATGATATATATAGATATATAAACTTTTATTAACATTATATATATAAAAAAATTTCTATATATGTAATGACTGATAATGTATATATATAGATATATAAACTTTTATTAAAATATTTAAAAAATATATAATTTTTTAAAATAATTGTTTATGCATATCTATTAATTATTTTAAATTTTTATTTAAAATATACCTAATTATCTATATTTATCTATAATATATATAAAGATATAGATAGATATGGATAAAACATTTCCATCCAAAAAAATTTTTATGCATATTCTGAATATAAATACATAATCATAATTCTAACAAATAATTCCTCAACAACGGGCCAAATGATGAGATCTCTAACCAAATTAAGCATGAATACGAGAAGTTAGAAGATTTATGAACAATTCAAAAGGAAAAATAAGAAAGAGAATTAGAAACATATATAATAATATTTTTCTACCACCATTTAAAATATATATATAAAGATACTATACTTTAAAATTAAAATACAATAGATTTCAACGATGAAGATTGATAAAAATTTATATTTATACACAAATTCTTTCAAGAAAGATTATAGTCAAAATGGGTATTTGATGTTGTTCATTCCAAATTGAAGAACAAACCCAGAAAAGATGATAATGTTATGGAAAAGACTTCTTCCCGATATACCATGACTATTGGAGTTAAAATGGATTTACTATATACGGTGTCTTATTTTCACTTTCTTGCTTCATCTTTTTGCCAATAATTTTATTAAATCTTTATTAACAGTCCGTTTGAAATAAATGAATCACGGTTATAGAATTCATTTATAAATGAATGCTAAGTAGAATTTTATTTACAAATGAATTTCTCATATTTAGTATGCTGCAATTTAAAATAAAGAATTCAATTGAATTCCATAAAATTATATTTGGAATAAATTCTTAAATAAACATTTATTTATTTTTATTTCTTATAACACTTTTGTCATAATAATTTAATAAAAATAAATAACAAATACCAATTATATTTATTACATACAATATAATAACTTGTCATTTTTTATTATAACTTGTCATTTTTTTATTAAAATAATAAATTAATAAATTTCCATATAAAAATAAGTACATAAATTTCATATAAATAAGTACATTAATATTCCACACTAATTAATTAATTATATAAGCAGTGACATTCATCATAGTAATTATTTTAATTGATGTACAAAATTTTGTTGATTTAAGTAATTAATTTGAAAGCTACAAATAATATTAAGAATGTTATTATTGTTTTTAATTGTATTTGAAAATAATTGTTGATACTCAGTTTTTATAGTTTCACAGTAATAATAATTAACATTATTACTAGACTTCAAAAAGCAAAAAAAAAAAAAACATCATTACTGGTTTGAAATTTTCCAAAAAGAGGAAAAATATAAAAATATAAATTAACGTCATTATTGGATTAAAAAAAATAACGTTGTTATAGTTTGGAATTTTTCAAAGAAAATAAATAAAAATGAAAAAATAAAAAATAGTTAAGTTTATAGTGGAGGGTAATTTTGTCAATAAACATTTCAACATGGTCAATTTTGTGAAATTTATTTATAAATTCCATCAATTTTAGTAGAATTTGAATTAGGCATACCCAATTCCATAGAATTCAATTTGTAGAAATGTGTATTTTTTTTCATTCTAAACACAATATTTTGAATTTTTAAATGAATTCCATAAAATTTTGTAGAATTCATTTGTTCCAAAAGGACTCTAGATGTGTTTTATTATTTAACTTATAACACATGAGTATTGACAATTTCAAATAATGCTCGACCATTTGTGCACATTTCTCTTTTCCTTTATAAATTTAACTCATATTTGAATATTAATTTATTTACTAACCGTGATTCTTGATATTATTTTTTCTGAAATTAATTTAAAATGTCAATATTATGAATATTTTATTGCTCCAATATATTTCATAATTTTTGTGTTTTATATGTTTTTTTGAAGTTTGTCATTTTTAACCAGATTTTTTGAAAAATTTTGCGTCTAAGATGATAAAAAAATGCAAAATTTCATAATATGCACATGCGGCGGGTATATGACTAGTTTCTACCAAATTGCTTTCCTTTTTTCACGTGCTGCTAAAGAACCCCCAACTACCACATTATAATTATTCTGTAACTGATAATATGCATATGCCATTCACAACACTGCGAGTGGCCTAACCTGTTATATAATAATATTTTTGAGATTCCACTAATTAAGCAACAGCTCCCTATAGATTTGAAACGTGCACATACAAACACCAATGTGTATAATGCAAAATGCCAAACTGCCCATTAAGAGAGAGAGAGTGGGGAAAATGGGCAAAACATGTCCATCTCTATGATGCCCAAATTTATTTGACAAATTCCTCATTTATCAAATAAAATAAATAATAACATTACATATAATGAATATGCATATATTGATGTTCTCAGCAATTATGAGGTTATGCCACTATTATTGTGACATCCCAGGTTTGGGGCACAACACCTTAGGCGAATCCCACATCAACAGTTCTCAGCAATTATGAGGTTATGCCACTATTATTGTGACATCCCAGGTTTGGGGCACAACACCTTAGGCGAATCCCACATCGGCTACGCACAAGGCGGAAGTCCTATACATAAAGGGTGGCAACCTTGAACATGGTATACGCGTTTTGGGCTGGCAGAGTGGAGGTTTCCCTGGCCCAGAAACTAAACCGTGCGGGCTTGTGTGGCCCAAAGCGGACAATATCTACCATGGGCTGAGCTGTTACAATTATTGTGAGAAACACCCGGTATTCAAATTCTATTACCAGGGGGTGTCTAATTCAGTTCGGGGCTTAATCACAATTAAGACTCTTCACCTCTTCCTACAGGTGCGTTTAATGAGAATTGAACCGAGAGCTCTTTCAACATGCCCAGCATGCGTTGCCAACTGAGCCACAACCCACAGGTTCTGAGAAACTATAATCGATATGCTTTGTCTAATAGAATTATGACTCTGTGGCAAGAGCGTTTGAGAAAGTATTTAAAGTTTTTATTGTGTCAAAATACTGTTTTTATATATTATGTCATTCGGTGAGGTAGTATAAAAAATAGTTTTTAGTGGATAAAATAACTTTTATTAAAACGTTAACCAATTAACTTTTAGCATTTATATTCTTTGATTGAAAATTTTTTTACAGTCTTACCCTTAATTAACTTATATTAACAATTTAACACGAGCTTAAAGCCTTTTTTTTCAATTGTTGTTATGGTACAGCAAGTCTGCATGATATTAAAAAGTTACGTTATTTTACACAAAAAAAAATTAAACAAATTAATTTAATAACGAATTAATAGAGGGACATGTGAAGAAATCCTATTATCATTTTAGAAATTGATAGTGATTTCAATTTATATAGCCGGACTACACACTATAGATTGACAGAAAAATAATAACATATTATATAAATCATCTCTTTTTTTTTTTTATAATGAGGTCTCTATAGTCATAAATTAAAATTCTAATACAATATTCAAATGTATTTTTTTATCATTTTAAATTCAACATCTAATCAAAAAGCTATTTTTATTGGACACTCCTGCTTTAAATAGTTGCATAAACAGTTAAGAGCTATCAGTTAATATCTAACTGCTAACAACTATCAAAATAACTAACAACTACTAAAACAACTAATATTACCGAACATGCCCTACATATTCAAAACCATTATATGCCTTATTATTTACACCTCCACATTACATATTCTTTAAAATAATTGACTTTTTGTTCATAAAATCACAATATATCATAGCATACCTCCACATTACATATTTTTGAAAAAATAATTGACTTCTTGTTCATAAAATTACAATATATCATAGCAATAAGAAGTGTAGGTTTCAAGTTCCCCCTCAAATGATGCACATACACAAATAGAGCTACCTAATTGCTTTTAATTCCTTTTCACGTGTTGCTAAAGAATCCCAACTATCA